TGGCCAACAATCGTGACATAAATTGATCACTCTCTTTATTGCTGTTTATGAGATAATAATAAGCCTTGCATATGGCACAGTGCCTTATCACATCGCTGAGATATCTCAAAGCTCTTCACAGAATATACTGCAACGTGATTTGACTGTATACTTTGTGGGTGAAACAGGATCTTGCTGTGTCTGCCTACAAGTAGTTTGTCTGCTTCGCAGCATTTATCTGTGACGTGTTTGTTGCCTTGACGTGGCAGGTGCTGTATCAATTGCAAGGATTCTTCACTTCAACATCACCTTATATTCGAAGATTTTCCTCTCTGAATGACTAAACTTTTCTGCCCAAGAATCTCTTGGTCCCAAAGATAAACAAAACTAAAGTAAACACGTGATGTGTGTAGATTTGCCCCAATACAATTTGAGGTGATGTAGAACCAACCCCTCACATCACTTCCCACCTGGCAATATGGATATTGGACAAGAATCAAGGTTGACAATTGCGATTAGTAGGAAAACCCAGTGCAGCAACAATTATTTGCAACAATTATAAGGCGCCCTTCATGTGTGCCGCGTCATGAAGCGCTTAAACGTTTTAAGCAGAACAATCTCCCTGAACTTTTTGTTATGGAAGAATGATCCTTTTTGAACGTGGAACAAAACATGAGGAATTGTATTCTGCTGTACTTTATTAAAATCAGATGCGGAACAGAACAAGCACAACCTCAGTAACATTCATACTCCAAGTTGACAGCTGAAATATCTGGAGTACATCCATCAGAAAATATTGTCAGCCGAGTGTAAAAATAGAAGCTGAAGATTACGTCTGCCTTGTTGGAAAGCTGATTAAAGTCAATTAAAATGCAATTTGATTTAAAAAAGGGTTAAATAACTCATAGCTTTACTGCAACCACAAAGCTCTCAACAGCGGATGAAGTATAAACCTTGGTTTTGAGACCAATGCAAACAGCCAAAATGTTATACTTAACAGTATTTTTTTACACCTTTCCTCCAGCCCATACTTTGAGACATATTTAGATATTTAGTTGGTGCTTTTTAAACTGACTTCCTTGAATCTCACACCACATAGGAAGTGGACGTTTTACATGCACTGCATTACAGGAAACATTCACCTCTAAGGTGTCCCAACACATCTCAGACTGTCATATTTGATTGTCATCTTCAGTGAGTACAAATCAACAAGCACTCATTCTGCATTTTATCTTTCTCATATAAATAAAAAAATGTACATTTTTAACACTTATCACACTAAAACATCTCAAAAATAATTGCTGTCAAATGGAGTGGCTGTTTATTTTATAGGTAAACGAACAGCTATTTGCGTAAGTCAGATCTCACAAACAGCCGTGGGGTGAATGACCAATTTATGTGGAGGATTATTGGCCAGGACACTGGGAGAAACTCGATTCTCTTTTTGAATAGTGTTATGGAATCCTTAATTTCCACCTGAACACAAGCAGACAGGAAAACGGCAGGTGCTACCTTTATAAGCTGAATTAAAACATGTTTCAAAACAGTTCAATACCTTGGAAGGTACATCTGATTTCCACGCTCTATTGAGTGAGTAAACTCTATTAAACAAACAAACATCAACGAAAGGACAAGTGTCACACCACTTTCTTTAATGGGAGATGGGAGGGAGAAGGAGAAGAAGTGACAACAGGCATTTTTTCACTCTCTGCACCATCTACAACAACAACTTGTATTTATACAGCGGCTTCACACAGGGTAGTATCCTGGAGCGCTTGAGCTACACAGCTATTTGTGAGATACTCCTACAAAATTCAGTCACTATCCTTTACAGTAAATCCTGTGAAAGGCTTTGAGGCATCCGCCTGACGTGAAAAGCGCTGCATCAAATGCAAGGATTATTATGAGTAGAAGTACTCTGATGTACTACTATTCAAACCCAAAAGGTTCTCATTTCTCCTCCAGACAGAAAGTTGTGGATTTTGGCCACGTTGTTGAGTACAGAGAATCCTCCCAGACAAGAACTTTTTTTTAAAATAAACTAGACTTCATTTAGTGGATTCCAAACTCTGATCTGTGGAAGGCATAGGAGTCCAAGCATTTTGATTTAATGTAGCTCAGGAAATCAAATTTACAAAAGGTATGCAGTCATCAGCCTGAGTGCACATGCCAAGAGGGAACAGCAGAGTTTTGTAATATGCATTCCAAATTAAAACCACATGCACAAAAGATTACTTTTTTGGGGGGTGAGGAATATGGAAAGGAGACATAAGGCATTGTGGGATTTCTGGTTTGAAGCATTGTACAATTCAAATTACCCCTTCTTGCTTTCTCTGTTGCAAAGAACGCAGTCAGTATAACACTGCAACACTATTTAAAAATTATTTAGGACAGACTACTCTGGATTTTTTTATTCTTTATGCTTCAAGCTACTGTAAGCACTGTACTTTTCGAATGTCACTGTAGCAGAAAAATAATTGTAAGTTTGGGTTCATTATCAGGAGAGAGAAGCGTTTGTTTTCTTTTTAACAAGCAACTTAACGTCAAACCCTTCGGAACAGAAATGATAGAGGAGGCCATTCAACTCATAGAGCTTATTCTGACAGATTTTAGATTGTGGAAAATTCTTTAATCCTGTCTCCCCCACCGCCCAATACACCTTCCTATCATAACATCCTATGTACGTACCTTTCTCTTTTAAGAACACCCAATTCATTCTGCCTCTGTACAGTTTTTTGGGTAGTGATTCCACATTCTCAACACCCCGCCCCCCCCATCCCCCATGAAATGCGTCATGATCTCGCTGGTTACTGGTTTTAGCAGTCTTCGTATTTCATGTCCATACATTCAATATTATAACCAACATTGTAAACCACAACACAAAGGCATCGAATAAAATGAAGCAAAGTGATGAAACCTCTCAGAACAGTACTCAAACACAACCAACATGTTAATTGTAAAATTTGAGGGCGGGGGGGGGACTGGGGTGATGTCTTAACTCAAACTTTGGAAATACAGCAAACTCCTGATAACTTGTTGCTCCAAGGGATACAGGCTCAGGGCAGTTATCCGGAGTGCAGAGTTAGGCATATGTATCAATACATAAATATATGTGGCTGGGATATTGATAGCACAATAATTTAGGTGGTAGTGAGAAGTTAAGCCAGGGTCGAGTTATCAGGAGTTCCCTGTATTTTTCAATGAAAATGATCTCTCCGAGCTAGATTGGGTAAAACTGTTGTTTCTGGGCTGGAGAAACATCAGAAGCAAATATTCGAAACTTGCACTCATTTCAGAGTTTTCAGATTTTGGCCATTACTTTAAATTTAGTCTTAATATTGAAGATGCTTTTCGTAGGTTCTGGTGAGATGCCAAAACATTTAGGCCATATTTAAGTATTTAGTACATTTTGGCATGCTCTGAATCTCTCTTCCTCTGAAGTTCTCCCCCCTACCCCGCTTAAAATAAAGGAGAAATATTAAATTTAATAGCTATGGGGTTAAGAGAGGGACAACAAGCAACACAACTTGAAGGGGATAGAAACAAATGCAAAATACTGCAGATGCTGGAAATCTGAAACAAAAACTGAAGCTGCTGGGAACACTCAACAGGCAAGCAGCATCTATGGAGAAAGGAAAGTGAGTCAGGGTTTCAAGTCCAACACCCTTCGTCAGAATTAACTTTCTGAACGAAGGGTCATAGACCAAAAACGCTGACTCACTTTTCTTTCTCCATAGATGCTGACTGACCTCCTGAGTGTTCCCAGCGACCTTCTGTTTTTGTTGAAAGGGGTAGGACTTGGTATCGTGGTGTGGTAGGGGAAAGCAGAGCAAGAGGCAAAATAAACTTTTATGGGGGATTTACAGCCTGTTAAATACGATGAGGAAACAACATGCAGAGCAGGGTGGAGTCCACTCATCGAAACACCAGCAACCGGGGCTACAGCGTTAAAAAAACACAAACTGCAAAAGCAAGCTTGGACTTTGTTCTTGTCCAGCTCAATGAAGAAGGAAATCCATGCTCCCAGTGAGCGAGCAGTTTCCTTGTGCTGCCTATCTCCCCTTTGCTCTGAGAACTGCCTCTCCCTCCGTTCAATTTACAACAACACGATTACATTTGTATTGCGCCTTTCACATCGGGAGTACGTCCCAAGGCGCAGCATTTCAATTTACATCATCTAATGCTTCTTCACGATTGATCATACGTGTGTAGATTTGACACACACCAGCTTAATAACAACAATCCTTCGCAAGATTTACTGTAAAGTGGATTGTGACTGTGTACTTAATGGGCAGATTAAGTAGGTCATCTCACCCACAAAATACAGTCAATTCACGTGACTACATGTCGTGTGAAACTCTATATCAAATGCAAGAATTATTCTTATATATTTCAGTATGATCATCCAGTAGTATGTAGGGGGCCCAACAATACAAACTTTTCTTCCATTTCGGGGCTCTACAAACCGCGTCCCTTTGCTCTGGGGATAATAATAATAATCCTTGCATTTGATATAGCGCCTTATCGTATCTTCAAGAGGTCTCAAAGCGCTTCACGGGGGAGGGGGGGGACGGGGGGGAACTGCAAAAGAAATTGACTTGTGTATTTTGTGGGTTGAACACGGCCGCCAAGCCAAACCCGCACAGCAGTGCCCCGCAAACCGTCATGGATTGAAGTGACCAATTTTTAGTATTATCTTTTTCAGGGGATTGTCACCCCCCCACCCCCACCAGGAAAATGATCCGCCAATCGACTAACAACTGGGCTCCTATTTACTGCTGCATACACAGAGGGGGGGGTGTGTGTGTGGTGGGGGGGGAACTTGCCTCAGATTTCGCTTTCATGGGGGGGGTTTAATCCCTTCAACAACCCCTTAACTGCTGGGAAGGTGTAACCTGCCCTCCCTCCCCCTCCCCCCTCGCAGCTCAGCGACAGCTTTACGCGAGCCCGGGGATGTGATGGGAGATGACAGGCCGTACGGTACAGCTCTCGGTGGGGGGGTGTGGGAGACACTCACTCACCAGTTGCCTCCGTGACCAGCGGATCATCGACGACGAGGCCAGTGAGGCCCCCGCCGACCGAGGCCGGGACCACGGCGGCCACCAGCGCCGCCACCGGCTGTCGCTCCCGTTAGACTCCGTCTTGCCGTTTGTCTCGCGCCCCCCCGGGGAGGGGGGAGGAGCCTGTGGGGGGGGTGGGGGTGGGGGGGTAACCTCTTCACTTCAGGCCCTCGCCCCTCCTTCTCCTCCTCCACCACCGTCCTCCTCTTCCTCTCCTCCCACCCGTAATGTCGACTTCGGGCTCGTCCTCCTCCCGCAGCGACAGCGACAGCAACCGCCGCCGCATCCTCCCGCCCCCGGGCCGGCACTCGGGGAGCCGTGGGCGGGGGGAGGAGGTTACAACTACGCCTGCGTGCCAAGCGCAGGCCCGCCCTCCCGTCGCCAGGCCCCGCCCTCCCGTCGCCAGGCCCCGCCCTCCCGTCGTCGTGACCAGGAGTTGCCTCACTTCCGGTGCGTCACCGCCCGCCGCCATGATGGGTGTATCGCACACGTGTCACTCCCCTCCCTCCCCCCATTCCATCCCGTCACTGCAGGGGATGTCAATCATCAGATCTTCCGACAACAAGTTTGGCAGGACTCTGGGGGAGAGGGCGGGGCGGTTCGGGGGGGGGAGGGGGGGCGTGGGGGGGCGGGGCGGTCGGGGGTGAGGGGGGGGGGCCGGGGGGAGCAGGCGGACTGGACGGGCGGGCGGGCAGTGGGGGGCGGGGCAGTGGGGGGGCGGGGCAGTGGGGGGGCGGGGGCGAGAGAGCTCAGGTCGGTCGGGGGGGGGCGAGGAAGGGCAGGGGAGAGAGGGCGGAGCGGTCGGGAGGGAACGGTGGGGGCCGGGCAGTGCGGGCGGGATGGGGGGAGCGGGCGTGGGGGGCGTAGCAGGCGGGGGGGCTGGGCGTTGGGCGTTGGGGGGGGCGCGGGGTGGTTGGGGGGGAGAGCGCGGGGGGGGGTAAAGGGTGAGGTGACTGTCGGCACGGACGAAGAGGAAGGTCTTCAGGAGCGACCTGGAGATAATAATAAAACTCGCATTGATATAGCATCTCATCACCTCATCGAGACGCCTCAAAGCGCTTCACAGGATATACTGTAAAGTGTAGTGACTATATCTTGTGGGCGAAACACGGCAGCCAATTGCACACAGCAGAGTCCCACAAACAGTCGTGGATGGGGAAGGAAGGGGCAAGACAAACGTTTCCAGAGTTTCGGGGCGTGAAAGCTGGCCTTGCCTGGTTCAGATTGACCTCTCACACAACCTGGACTTCATCTTCTCTAACCCCCAGATCATCTTGTGCGATGTTCCTCAGGTTCCTTGGTTCCCTCCTCTTCAATATCATCTTGGTGACATCATCTGCACACATGGGGTCAACTTCCACATGTATGCGGATGACACTCAACTCTATCTTTGCCTCCACCCTCGACTCCAGGACCCACTGCTGTCCTGACTGAATGTCTGTCGGACATCCAAGTCCTGGATGAGAGCTAACTTTCTTCAGTTGAACGTCAACAAGACCGAGGCTCTCTTGATTGGCTCCTGTCAGCGCCTCCTCACGTCAGATGCTGACAGTATCACCATCCATGGTTGCACACTCCACCTTGCTAAGCCAGTCCGGAACCTTCAGGTCTTGTTTATGCAAACTCACTGCTTGTCAACCTACCCAACTTCTCCCTCCACAGTCTGCAGATCATCCAGAACTCTGACCCTAACACCCCCATCCTTGCCCAACTCCACTGGCTTCTCATCACCCAGAGGATACAGTTCAAGATTCTGGTCCTCACCTTCAAAGCCCTCCACAGTCTTGCTCCCCCTACCTCTGCGACCTCCTAACCCCGTCATCCTGTTCGCTCCCTCCACACTCCCCACACCAAACCCCAGCTCATGCCCGTAACCCTGTCTGTCCAGCACCTTGGGACATCCTCCCAACGTGAAAGGCGCTTTACAAATGTAATTTTGTTGTTGAAAGCTTGGCCACCGATGGTGGAACGGAGGGCACGAGGGACATGTAGAAGGCCAGAGTCTGTCGAGCGGAGGCAGCGGGTTGTGGGGTAAGCAGGCATAGAGGCAGGGAGGTGCCAGGGCATCAAGAGATTTGATAACAAGTCTGAGGATCTTGAAATCGATCCGTTCGACAATAGGGAGCCAGTGGAGCCTCGCGAGAACTGGTGTGATGGGGATATGCAGTTTACTACAGGTGAGTATGCGGGCAATATGGGTCAGATCATAATAATAATCCTTGCATTTGATAAAGTGTGTCATTGTGTTGCTGAGACATCTTGAAGCGCTTCACAAAATATACTAGGATATGCATTTTGTTGCACTGTGCAAGTCTCGTAGCTTAGAGCACTCGCCTCGCAATCGAGTGGACTTGGTTTTGATTCCCGAGTTTTCCATACGCCTCTATTTACCTATCAGTAAGTAGGAACCCAGTTGTTAATTGGTTGGTGGATCGCTTTCCGAGGGTAATAATCCCTTTTTTTTAAAAAATTTGGTCACTCAATCCACAACTGTTCATGGGACACTGCTGTGAGTAATTGGCTGCTTCATTCTGCCCACAAAATACACAGTCAATCTACTTTACAACATATTCTCTGAAACATTTTGAGGCATCTCGACATCGTGATAAGGGTCTATATCAAATGCAATGACTATTATTTCAAAAGCATTAATTTAAATTGACCACTCTATGCTACCCGATACCCATAATATTGAGCTACTTTTGGGCTAGTATTGGGTTGGATTTGGGCTACAAACGTATGTTAATTTCTGGCAAGCCTGTTTCCAAGTGCAGCACGAGTGATCAAGGGCAACTCTGATTCTCTTTTTGGAAGGGAAAGTGGATCCTACATATTATCCCTCCTAAAGCGCTTGAAGGATCCACCCATTGTTAAAAAGTGTGCCATTTAAATTGTACGCAGCGAATTTTGAATATTACAGCACAGAAGGAGGCCATTCGGCCCATCGTGCCTGCTCTTTGGAAGAGCTACCCAGTCAGTCCCACTCCCCTGCTCTTTCCCTATATCCTTGCAAATTTCATTTTAACCTTTCACTTGCCACCAATCTCATAATAATAATCCTTGCATTTATTACGTCTTCAAAACATCTCATAATTGTTTTCAGAAGGAAACAAACCAAAAAATGACATTACTGTAAGTTTAATACGTGTTATTGCACAGTTCAGGAATTACACAAAGTACAATGCAAAATTACATTGGATAGTGCCTTTCAAGTCAGGAAGATGTCCTTGTGGACAGTCCTCACCAATCACTGTGCAAATACGGAATTCAGTTTTAACATTTGGTTGGAAATGGAATGAATGTTAGATAGGCAAACAGGACAGCCAAGTTGCACGGTTTCTATGTTGCATAGAAAGCTTTGTCTTTCGAATGAGACGTTAAACCGAGATCCCGTCTGCTTGTTCAGGTGGACAATTCTCACTGAAAAATCTCATTGCACTATTCGAAAAGAGAAGGGAGTTTCTCTCCTCCCCATGTCCTGGCTGACAATCTCCCCCTCCAAATAAAGTTGGTCACTCACCTTGTGACTGTTTATGATATGCTGTTGTTTCCAAATTAGTTGTCATATCCACCTGGACAATACACAGTCACTATACAGTAAGCCCCATGAAGCATTTCACACCACGCAAAAATCAATCGTCAATCTTAAATGCTGTAAAACTGTACAACCCCAGGGTTAATAGTCACCATTTTTCCCTGGAACCTCCTGGGTAAGAGAGTCAGAGCCAGGCCACAGCACACACAGGAAACCTGAACAGCTGATGTCCATCAGGCAGCATTGAAGACAGGATTCCCATTGATTTCTCAATTAAACTTGAATGCCATGAGGCTGTTGTGAACTGTCAATCAAGCTCTTAGGCCAGCCCCCTCCCTCTCATCCTTCCCCATTTCCCCCGGATCGTAGTGACTGTGTTTTATAGGTGAACATAGAAACAGGAGTAGGCCATTTAGCCTCTCGAGACTGTTCCACCATCTTATTAATCCTGGCTTAACTGCACCTCAACTCCAAATACCTGCCTTTGTCCCATATCATAGAATCAGAATTATACAACACAGGAGGAGGCCATTCGGGCCATCGTGTCTGTGCCGGCTCTCTGAAAGAGCTATCCAATTCAATCCCACTATCCCACTCTCTCCCCATAGCCCTGCAAACTTGTCCACCCCAAATAATTATCTACTCTTAAAGCTGTTATTGAATCGGCTTCCACCAGCCTTTCAGGCAATGCATTCCAGATCCCAACAACTCTGTGTGTGTAAAAATTTCTCCTCACCTCCCCTCTTACTTTTAACAACTAATCCCTTGATACCCTGACCTAATGAAAAACAATCCCCAACACAATTGGAAAAGTGAAGGGAGTATCTCTCTCACAATGTCCTGGCCAACAATCCCCCAAATAAAAGATCATTTGCATCACAGTTGCTCATGAGAGCTTTTGATATACGAATGCCTGTTGGATTTGCCTACACTTGACAGACCTTTGCTGTATCATCTGCATAACAAGCGTCAGCCTGGTGCAGTGGTAGAGCTCTTGCCTCTGAGTCAGAAGGTTGTGGTTCAAGGGCCCACGCCAGGACTTGGAATCACTCCAATGCAGTGCTGGGGGTGTGTTGCATTGTCTGAGGTGCCGTCCTTCGGATGAGACGTTATCCTGGATCGCTAACAAGGTGTGACTGGGGGCTAATTCCAGGCGTGCTCCACACTAGTGTGTCAGAGTATTTCATTTTCGACCCCACAGACCAGCTGTCTGAGCCCTAGACTTTCCTGCTGAGCCAGACAGCTGGAGGCACCATCTTAATGTATTGCGGACAATAAAAAGGTAAGATCATGTGAATGTCAACAGAATGTTCCTGACAGCTGTTTTAGATTTAATGTACCTATTAAGTGATTAAGTCATTAAACTAAGGTCCAATTCTTCCTGTGATTTGTTTATCTGAAATGACGCAAGGCATTTAAGAGAAATCCAGTGTGAATCGATCTTGTGTCATGCGCTGTGTGTAAACCATGTGCAAAAAGGTGACTATGAGGCAGCATGTGTAACGAGAAAATTCCTTGTTTATAATCAACTGAAGCTTTGCATAACTTTGAGTAAGCTTTGAATA